ATCTAAAAATTGCCAAAGAAGTGGGAGACAGGGCTGGAGAAGGAAGATCGTATGGTAATCTTGGCAACGCTTATGACAGTCTGGGAGATTTCAAAAAAGCCATGGAGTACCATGAGCTAGATCTAAAAATTGCCAAAGAAGTGGGAGACAGGGCTGGAGAAGGAAGGTCGTATGCTAATCTTGGCAGGGCTTACCGCAGTCTGGGAGATTTCAAGAGAGCCATCGAGTACCATGAACGTTGTCTAAAATTTGCCAAAGAAGTGGGAGACAGGGCTGGAGAAGGAAGGTCGTATGGTAATCTTGGCAACGTTTATGATAATCTGGGAGATTTCAAAACAGCCATCAAATACCATGAACTAGATCTAAAAATTGCCAAAGAAGTGCGAGACAGGGCTGGAGAAGGAACGTCGTATTCTAACCTTGGCAACGCTTATTACAGTCTGGGAGATTTCAAAAAAGCCATCGAGTACCATGAACGTAGTCTAAAAATTGCCAAAGAAGTGGGAGACAAGGTTGGAGAAGGAGGGTCGTATTGTAATCTTGGTGCTTGCTTTGAATTTCAATGTTCTCTGAAGAAGGCCCTTGATTGTTATCATTCTAGCGTGCGATTGTTCAATGATCTTAGGCAGGATCTACAAGGTAAAGATGAGTGGAAAATTAGCTACCGCAATGTTAATAATGTGGTTTATACCAGATTATGGCGTCTGATTTTAAACCAAGGTGACGTAGTTGAGGCTTTGTTTACTGTCGAGCAAGGACGTGCACAAGCTCTAAGAGATCTTATGAATTCAAAGTACGAAACTAAAGCACCACATACCGGGGAAAAAGTGACCTACAACACATTAAGTTGCCTCCCTTCAGATACAGTCTTCATGGCAGTTCACGAAAGAGAAATTATTTTCTGGATTATTCAAAATGGAAAAGATGTTCAATTAAGAAGAAAACAAGTCAGTGATAATAGTTCGAAGGAAAATGCCAGCAGATTGTTGGAGTCTTTAACTCACAATGCTCGTGACAAAATTGGTGTCAGTAGAGGTGTGAGATGCGAGGATCGTTCATTGGATAGGAAAAGCGGAGGAGACCTGTCAAAGAAGGGGTATCAAACTATATCCCAACTAACGCACTCAGATACCAATCCTTTAAGAACATTGTATGACGTCATCATTAGCCCCATCAAAGACTTGATTGATGGCAACGAACTGATGTTTGTTCCCGAAGGTCCATTGTGCCTGGCTCCTTATGCTGCATTCATGGATTCTAATTCAAAGTACTTGAGCGAGTCTTTCAGAATCCGGGTCATTCCGTCATTGACTAGTTTGAAATTGATCAAAGATAGTTCACCAGATTACCACAAGAAGTCTGGGGCGCTGGTCGTGGGTGATCCGTGCTTAGAAGAAGTTGCAACTGGTTATCCGGAATTAATGTTAGAAGAGCTGCCATTTGCAAAGATAGAAGTAGAGACGATTGGGAAAATACTCAACACTGCTCCCCTCACTGGGAAAGATGCCACAAAAGCTAAAGTGTTGAGAGCACTTTCCTCAGTTCGTTTGGTGCACATTGCAGCACATGGTAGACTGGAAACGGGAGAAATTGCTTTGGCGCCAAACCCTACACCAGCATCCCGGAACCCTGGTAAGGAAGACTTCTTGCTAACAATGAGTGATGTGATGGGAGTTCAAATGCGAGCAGGACTGGTTGTGCTAAGTTGTTGCCATAGTGGCCGTGGTGAGATTAAGGCTGAGGGTGTGGTTGGCATTGCACGAACCTTTTTGGGAGCCGGTGCTCGATCTGTTCTTGTGGCCCTGTGGGCAATTGACGACGAAGCCACTCTGGAGTTTATGAAGAGTTTCTACCTGCACCTAGCAGAAGGAAGGAGTGCCAGTGAATCTCTGAATCGAGCCATGAAGTGTCTGAGAGAGTCTGAGAAATTTAGCGAAGTAAAGCACTGGGCTCCATTTGTACTCATCGGTGATGATTTTACCTTGGACTTGGCTAAAGGCGATTAGATGAACTTCAGTATATTTAAAGGTACTTAGGTGTTTGTTAAATGTTGAGATGATACAATTGGAAAATAAGTAATATTGAAGTTTCAACTCGGTGAAGTTTTATTTGTCTCGCACAAATAACAATACTTTGACGTTTCTTAAAAATCTCAAATGACCTAATTAATTGACACAATTCACAAAACGTGTTTTCAAAACCGCAAACTTATGCTGCAAAATACTACCCTACTTACGCTGTACCTTTGTGGTCGCCATGACACTCTTTTTTATTTGTACAAGGAAATGAATTTTGCAATAGCTTCAGAGAAAATTGATAAAGTGACCAGACATTATTCTCGATAATAGCTAACAGTGTTGTTTTGTCTTACCCCTTAGGTTGTTCAGTCCTTCTATCAAGAAAGATGGGGCGACTCTGTCGATTTGTTATTACGAGACTGCTAAATTTCATTAGCTTTTTTAGTGTAAATAGTGTAAATTTTCTCGTGATTATAAATACATCAGAGTCGTATCAATGTGTATCCGTAACGGTTTTTGCAGCCATAATTTTATAAATGAATGCGCCTCATTCGAATCTATTATTTTATTTTATAGACTTGGACATAATATTTAATAGGGCTGTGTTAGAGAAGCTTAGAAGTAATCACAAATGAATAGTAAATTCATGCACTGTCCAGCCATAATGGAAATAACAATATTTGAGTAATTTCAGAAAGTTAAGAAGCAAGGTATTTTCTTTCCGTAATGTGTTAAATATCCAAAATGAAAAGAATGAGTACTTGTTAGGGAACACCTCGTAGAGAATTTTTTCGGAATTTAGTGGTTGTAATATGCTTACATTGTCATTTGAAATGGACGAGTTGCTGCGATAGAACAAACTGCTTCTTGTTGAATTAGCAATGTGCCCTGCTACGTATTTTTTGCACATTGCTTGAATTTCTAGTGATATTATTTTGCGTTTTATTTTTATGTAATGATCGTTAAACTACTGAAGATTAGTAATAGTTCTAGAAAGGCCTCACGATTTTGTACTCCGTAATAAAGTTAGAAGATTTAAGGTAAATTAAAAGAAAAACTTTTGAACCTTCAGCAATTTTATTTCCTCTTTTATAACACCCACTTTCCAAACAAATATTTGCCCTCGGTTACCACCAGTTACAGGCAGTACATCCGGACTACAATTGGTGGTATCACACATTGCTACAACACACGTTCCTTTAGTGCTGGCTGCACATTCAGCTGCGTATTCGTTATATTCTTCCCTTGTCAAACATCCACGATTAAACTCAAAGCCATCTTCTCTCTGGAAACTTCCCACTCCACACACCATGTTTTCTTCTTCCGTAATCCTCGGAAGCGATGTTTTTATCACAGCTTTCTTGAGCATTCTGTGCATTCTCCCCTTCTCCAGAGCATGCTAGGCAGTAAAGCTGCGCTTCGCGTCGACCTAGCAATGAAAATAGGAAAGGCCTTAATTGAATACTGGGCTAATGCGAGCTCGTTGCAATGACGCATTGATATATATCATTCATATGTAACGGGCATACATGCTGCCCAATTTGAAAATAATTGTATTTAAAAAAACAAGAACGAGGCCGTAGGCAAAGGTGAATCATTTTGGTATTAAGAGAAGGCTTAAAGAGAGGGGATATTCTTTGCAACTTAATCTTATATGATTGACTCTACACTTAAAAAGTCAATATATATATATTTTCAACAATAAATAAACAAATGAACAAATAAATTTGTTCTACTTCCCAATTCAAATACGTATACGTTTTCTCATTTGAGGTGAACGCGTCACCCGTCATGGGCCAAAATTCACGACAGTCTTTTTTCTTTATAACTACGTTTTGTAAGAATATCGAGGCTGAAATTTGCCAAATTTTAAGAGTATTTTAAAAGTAAACCCGAAGCTGAGATTTTGAAAAGAATCTAACTGACGGATGTTTATGTTGAAAATTTGTGAATAGAATTAGAACTATATCATTTAAACTTAACCATGTAAAACTCTTCCTTTCTCTAAATAGCAAACTAACCAGAAACAACAAATACGGCACTACAAACGAATATATGAAAGATCATATATTTGAACTGCAGAGAAAGGTACGAAGACATGATTGATCATCGCAGTTATGCACGTAACTTAAGCAGTTGTGAAATTAAAGCCTGAAAAAAATTCAGGCCTGAACGGGATTCGAACCCGTAACCTCTGCGATACTGGTGCAGTGCTCTACCAACTGAGCTATCAAGCCATCTGGGAACTGGTTAGTATGTGAGTTCGTAATATGCTCGTAGATGATGAAGAATACAAATGAGTACATGAAAGATCATATATTTGAACTGCGGAGAAAGATATGAAGAACATGATTGATCATAGCACTGTATGCACACAACTTACACAGTTGTGAAAAATACAGCTCTAGCCGCATGTTCGTTGCTTATAACATTTTTACAAGAAGTTATGTGTGTGATATCCGGCTTTAACGCCTGCAGGCTGGCTCGAAAATCACTTTCACATCATCCAGACACCAAATACATTAGAAAATAGAAATATCATACCCTATAATCTAAAAGTATTCCCTGATAAGAATGTTTCAGCCGAATTTCGGCAGAAAAATAAACATATTCAGCCCCGGCCAGAAAAAAAATGTTCTTATAAAAAAGAGTGTAACTCCTCATCGAAACAACAACTTAAACTTTCGACTTGCACGTGATCAGGCAGTGCATCTTGAAACCGCGATAAATTTGTGAGTAACGCGGCGTCAAGCAAATAATTTTCTTCGTAGTTTGTTTTATTTTTGAGTTGGAACCAGAGAATATTGTTGGAAAGTACAACAAAACACTTAATGACTGGCCCCACCGGAAAAAGTGAGTTTCATTGAGGGTCCCGGTTTAACACAACTGTTTCCCTTAGGGCCAGTCATTAAGTGCTTAAAATAAATAAATAAAAAGAAAAAAATAGGCAATTAGTAAGCTGGCTCTAAAGCTACTTCAACACCTTCCAAAAACCAAATACATTCGAAAACAGAAATAATGGTCTATAATGTAAGAATATTCACAAGAATATTTTCAGCCTAAAATCGGCATTAATAAGAATATTCATTCTCGGTCGGAGAAACAATATCCTTCGAAAAAAGAGGGTAAATAAACAACTTTACAACCTTTCATAGCTTGGACAAGTGCAAACGTAAGGCTGACCAAACCAAAAGCCATCAAATGCTGAATTTCCAACATGTCGCTGCCTGGAAACAAAAGAAGACAGGAACTATTCGACGATACGACTCGTGAACGTGGACGATTATTCGCAAATGAACTTTGTTCGTGGCATGGTAATTGTTCTTACTAGAGCAAGATTGAATGGGGGCTTGTTCTTTGAGTATAAGATTATACTTTCTAGTTAGACGATGACTCGCCTCCTTGGCGTTAGCGAATTCGACGATTATCCAATGTCTAAGAAGTAAGTTGATCGAATCATTTGCCATCCACTTAAGCCCATGTTAATGAAATATTATATTCAGTATTAAACAAAGCAGTCAGGACCACCATTGCGTCAGCCGAAACTAAAGAAAACTGGTAATTTCGATGCCACCAAAGAAGATATTAAAACACTGATATAAGTCAACTGAGATAGAAAACAAAGACAGCTTTGAAAACTAATTACGCTTGGGTGGACCTCAGTGTGAAAGGCACCGGTAGCAGCTCTCGCAGGGTGTCACATAAATGGCTTGATAGCTTTTGAGAAAACAATAAAACAAACAACAGAAACAATGTCCCTAGCACTAAAACAATAACAGCTACTACAATAATAAAAGAATGGCAGCTTGCGAAAGCTACTACACTTAAAATACGTCTCTTAAATGATGCAAGTTTGTTTTCGTTTTTTGATTGTTCGTAACGGACAGTTCCCATTTATATCTTGTTTTGGTTGATTTTTCTTGCACTTCAACAAGCTTATTGGTGGGTGTGTCACGCCAAAATATCTTCCGCACAAGAGCGCTACTGCTGAGCCAAAAGAAACAATCTGGAGAAATAATCTAGTTGTGGTAACGAGTACTTGCTTCCGTCAGTTTTTGCCGTTACTTTACACGGCCAAGCAAATTCAGGCATTGCTCTTTTTTCTTTCACCGTAAGAGTAAAGCTAAATTATCGTTGCACTTCGCCTGACAACGGCTTCTAAGGACCGTCCTATGTATTGATGCTTTGTCATGTTGATGATGAAGATCTTCCAAAGAACGTGCAACTACCAATAATAACGGAGAGGACCAGTCAATAGTCAACATAAGACGATATTACAATATTCTAACATGGCGCGAGGCTTTAAGGACAAAGTTTCAATTTTTTTCTAAAAGTTTTGTTTGTCCCTCAATTCCCAAAAGTGACTTGGGTGCAAAGAAACACCATCAAATATAGATAGAAGTTTGTCCTAAAAGCCTCGGAGCCACATTAGAAAATTGATTCGACCATTGAATGTGGCTTATTGAAACATAAAGTAAAAAAAAAAACATGCAAAATTCGGGAAATTAAAAAAACCAAAACCAAAAGGAAACATGCACGTAATGGTGACCAGATTCTTATACCCGGGTACCAAAGTCACATTAGCTAAGCTGATGTTGCTTCGTTTCTGAATATTTTCTTAAAATTGCTCTAATTTCATTTAATTTTGTTCATGGATGATGCGCTTGAAATGTTGGCTACAAACAAAAGACGATCAGCATCCTTGTTGAATATGTTTATTCAAATTTGGAGTTACTGAAACTTGAATTTTTGGTGGTCAAATTGGGGCGGTTTTGAATTATATTTAGGTAGCTCAATATTAATAGAGAATAGGGTTTTCAGAGGAAAAAAAAACTAGTTATGCATCGCTTTCGAGTAGCATACCACGGAATATCAATATCAAGCCTTTAAGCATAAGTCGGTATATTTTATATCATGCCATAGAAAATACAGTGGCCAATCAATGCAACCTTCGCGAACGACAGGATTGGAATATACTGTCGTATATACAACGGCTTTCCTGTATTCTGATTGGTTGTATTTTCTGTGGCATAGTGTATATAAAGCCTGATACACTGGAGAGATACTTTGTCAAGTAAAGTTTTGAAAGGTCTCATTTAACTTTGTCGGATGAGAGCGTCAACCCTTCGCGACAAGAGCGAATGGTAGTCTGCTTATTCACTTGAATTTTGCAAATCATTGTAGATGAAATCTACTAATTTTCACGTGAAATATTAGCAAGGATGCATTAGAATTTTAAATCCTGACCAAGATAGCACATAGCTATCCGAAATGCATTTGGGCAGGCCTATTAAGGCCTCATATGATAATAGTAGAAACTTGAAACAATGCGCTATCAAAATGGGAGCCAAAGAAGGTCGATGGACACTGGAATTACATCATCATACTTCTTTTTATTCATAATTACTCGAGCAGCACAATTTATAGCAGCATGAAGGTTTGCAATAAGATTTCTTGGAAGTCGGCACAATAATGCGTTCCCACTATCCAACCTACACGTCACGTGAAAAAAGCTCCTCGCGATTAAGTACATTCTTATGCCAGCTGGAATACATATGCTACACGCTTGAAACTCAAAATTTGTCGCAGAATCAAAACTCACACCAATATTTCGAGCCGAAATCGAAGCTGAGCAGATATCAAGCGGCGGAATGTAGGGCCTGGGAGGAAATTGTGATGCTTTGTCAGAGTTCAACTTTATTTTGGTAGAGGACATCCAGTTAGCCAACTCAGGTGTATCGAAAAATCATGTTGTTTAGAAAAATACGATAAGAAACTGAAGACCACTAAAAGTCGTCGATGATTTTGGGCGAATTAATACCACCGCTCGTATAATAAAGAAGAAAATCAGATCGAGTCGATAAAACAATTGCGAAGTATTTTTTCACTTTAAAGAAAAAGCCACAAGTTCGCCGATGATCAACGGCGAAGTAATTCAGCTTGTATATAATGTTGAATTGGTCATGCCGCGTACAAAGAGCTTAAAAGTGCTATATTTAAAACAACTGTGCTTGGTTTATTGGAGGTCTTCTCTCCCTGTCAGTTTGTGTTTTATTATCATTATTATTATTATTGTTATTATTATTATTATTGTACATATGCTTATTTATGGTGTTGCAAATAAAAAATGATGATGTTGATGATGTTGTTGTTGTTGATAATGATGACGATGATGATGATGATGATGATGATGTTGGTAGACTGAAGAACATCGCGACTTGTCGATGATCATCATCGGGGTAATTCTGTCTGTAAATTAGGAACTTTGGCCTATGAGAACGTAACGTCTAAAGTGAGTAAAATGTTGATAATTCGCACTTTTTGTTTGGAAAATATCCTAACAAACGGCGACAAATGAAGACAATCTATTGCGTCAGCGTATTCGCCTTAGGTTTATGTTTGTACGCCTATAAAAACCAGTCGATGGCAGTTTTCATTTAAGAAAAAAATTGGAAACGTTTGCGTGTGAATAGGACATATAATATTCATCATGAAAACATAAAATAGAAATAGAAATAACAAGATTAAGCAGCAGCTAAAGTAAAACAACTGACAAGAGATTAAATAATAAATGTACCTCTAGGCGACATGTACTCCTTCCTCCATAGAAGTTTATAGAGAAAAGGGTTTTGTTAACAGCCTTGTGTACCGAGTTAAAGCGCTGTTATCTATTTCTGTAGGATATTTTATACAGTGGCTAGAAGCAACGTACGCCAACCCTCAAAACTGTTAGCCTATATTTCCAAAGTGTGTTTTTAAAAACAGATAACTCAAAGGAATTGGTAGGGGTCAATTTTAATTGCATTTTTAAGCAAGACGTTTGCTAGGGAGTGCCCAAATTGGTGACGTGCCTTTCAATTATAGCTACAAGAATAACGAATAAGTTATTTAATGAATTAGTTTTTGTTTTTAAGTTAGTTTCAAATGTGATGTGAAAGGAGGTGGTTGTTTAGGTCAGTGAAACTGTTTTGGTAAGATTTTAATTCTGAAACATTCACCGAGCTGGTTATGATCATTTCGCATGCCCAAAGCAAAAATGACACTATCTTGCTATTATTCACTACATATTTCAATATTTATAATATTATCTGAGTCGATTGCACGATGTCGACGTTTTAGTTTTATCTAAACGAAGCCATTTTATTGCAGGTGGTAACGACGGTGTCGTGGTATTCTCTGCGTGGGTCGAATGAAACTCGCGAGGAAAGAAGCGAGATAGGAGTGTGTTCTGAAATATTCCTCGAACATTATTCTTTCATTTCGTCTATATTTCTCAAAACTTTGATTGCACGATGTTATTTTCCTTGAATATGTCAAATAAAGTAAAGTAAGCTCAGCGTGAAATTTCGGCCGGCATCACAGCTGGTTACTGTGACTAGAAAATTAATTGCGTTGAAAGGAACCTTAAGTCAAAACTGATTACGTTTACTGAAGTAGACGACAAAAGAAAATGTCAATAAAGACACAGACGGAGAGGTGATTGATTCGCAGAGAGAATTTCACTGTCGGTGTTGTTTCATTACCTTGACACGAAAGCTTGCCATTTCGACCCTGCAGAAATCTTCTTCAACAAATAAGGCAACAAAGTTTATTGATTTGTGAAACATTAATCTGTGGCAAAGAATTGCTGAAGCATTCTGTTAAAGGATTTTGGATCTCCTGGTAAACTGTTTGCTGCTTTAAGCCTGGTTTCTGCATGATTGGTAAGTTCGCTGCACTGATCGTTGTGATCACTACAGAAAAGGTTGAGCGATCTTGCGAATACCTGTTTGGATATGACTGCTACGTTGGGGCAGAACATTGAGAATATTACACGGCGGCGCAAAGATCTGAATTTTATTTCTGAGCGATGAAATCAATATTTTACGGACAAGCGCAGCGAGTGAGTAAAATATTGTTTTAACATGAGGCAATATAATTCATATATTTAAAATTAAGCCACCGTGTAATTTTCTTTTTACTATGACGACAAACTGACTGTTTGCACAAACAACCGTGAAAACTGGGAAATGACGTCATCGTTATCTTCATTAGTAATATCAGGAGCCATAATCGGGGACGGAGACCGTAAGCGCGCGCCATTTCAAATATTGGGGTTGTCCCCATGATATGGGACAATAATTCTATTTTTAGAACAAATTGCGCCATCACCTGCGGCACACGCGCGTGCATGCTGCGAGGACTTTTGCGGATGTCGTGCGGGGGAAATGGCGTCCGAAATGGCCTCCGAAACTCCCGAAATGTTTCATGTTTTTGCCCCACAACTCAACGAAGAAAAAAAGTTTCTAACGCTCAGGGATAAGCGTTGAAAGTGTAAAGAATTACTTGCATGTGTTTTGTATTCAATCTCATCCCGATGGTAGGCGTCATTTTCAGGAAAGCGGCAATCCATTGGCTTTTGTTTTGCGAGCAAATAGAGCTTATTCGCGATAGCTGCCATGTTTGTTTTCATATTATAATGTGAATTAAGCATGTGAATTCTGAGCGGGTAAATAATAATTAAAAATTGTACTAACTCATCTTCATTAAGTTGAAAAATTAAGAGACAAATTTCTGGAAGGAAAAAAAGATAAGAGCTAAAAGCGTGCACAAAATCGTTACTCGATGATGCAAATTATGACCTTAAAAACAACGAACCGACGAACTTTATGAATCGATTTCGTTTAAATTGTGGGCTTTGTTCCACAAATTATATATCACATTGTTCCATATACTCGAGACAAGTTTGTTTTCGAAATGTAACGTTATTCCATGAACTAACGCGAGTAATTATAAATTAGTTACAGTACAGGCATAAATGGGACAAGATTGAGCCATCATATCCTCTTTACGAACATGGTGACCTATCTTTTTTATTTCATTTCTCGAAATAGTGCCTGGTAGGGAACATCCTGGGAAGGTTTCAAAAATATGGTACGACAACCTTTTTTTCTCAAGAATTACCTATTAAATAGCGGGGATTATGATGCTATCTGGTACTGGTGAAAGAAGCAACTTGCCTCATTTTGGCGTCGGCTCTTCCGTTTCCGAGACCTACACCTTTAACTTTTCAAGAATGCCAAAAAAGTTATCGTCAGTAAAAGTTTGTCAACACAATAGTGTGATCAAGTTAGCCTGAAAAATTAATTTTCAGCCAAGTTCATAATAATATGATTTTTGCGTAAAGACAAACATTCATTAACGTCAATGAACGAAAGTACATTTTTCAGAATTCTTTACTATTCAATGCAGTTATCCCCTTAACATCGTCGGTGCAACATAAGTTATAAAACCAGAGAACAAAACCAAAAAAATGTCTTTTATATATATCTATATATTTCTCGCTTAGAGTATATTTGACATTGTGTTCTAAGCCTTTCTACAGGTAACTCCTTAGATCTTAGCCGCCTCTTAGGAACTTTTTATACGGTCGACCGGCGAACAAAATGCAAAACCTTAAATCCTCCACTGAATTCGTTTGTAAATGTTTGGTAATTCAAAGTCTTCTAATTAAAGAAATATGCGGTTGAGTTTTAATTGAACGCTGTTGCCTGCAAGTGCAAGTGAAAAGTCTAAGAAGGAATGCATTCTCAAAGGATTCCTTGAGAGCTGCGAACTTGACTTCGCACTCGTTCCACTAACACTTTGAACTTCAAAATTCGGTCAACAAATCTCATACCATGTCCAGTCAAGTTCACAAAACTGTCGTTGTTTTATTAATTATGTATCTAACTTCACTATATAACTGCTTGTAAAGGGCTCAATTACATCTTTCGAATGCAGATGAGAACATTTGGTTTACAAAAGATGGTATATGTGATGTTTAAATATTTGCCGTTTTCAGACAGGTGGTCTTTTCATGGCCATTAACGTTCAATATTCCTTGTTGACAGATGTTCTTGATTTGCATTTCGTATTTTTCACTCTGTTTGCATTTGATAAGGGCCGTTTTGCTGTCAATGGTGGCAACACGACCTACAAAATTTAAATATTTGCCAAAGCTGTTTCAGTGTATCCTCATTAAGAGTAAATGTTAAATTCTGTTGGTTTTCCAAGCGCTTTTTAAGGCACATGACGAGTTAAGAAGTTATATTTAGAGAGCAGTCCTCACAGTCTGTATGATCTCAATGGTTGCTCCAAAGGTGATAACAACATCGTGGCTACAACATGCCGCATTTGCTGCAGAAATAATCGATTCCTGTGATCCTGAAATTAAGTTCAAGTAAGTCATTTTATAATCTGGGAATAAGTCTCGGGTTGTTATTTTTTAAAGATATAATTGTATAAATATGGAAGCGTAGCGGACTAATGGTTTGTCGGGAGTTCGGATCGAGTTGCTTAAGTTGTGGCGCTGAGGGGTAGCGTCATTATGTTGTGTTCTTTGGTCAGATAGTTTTAATAACAACATCATAACCAGAAGTACAAATGTATAGTGGTAAAGTTTAAGGATACTCAGACAAAATAACGGAGATGGGAACCTTCAACGCATGCGTCTTCGACGCCAGAGATACGATCGCGAAAAAGCTAGCATCCCATTCAAGAGAGCAGTGATACCCTCAAACCCTCCAAGCCATCCTGGAAAGCAAACCCAGGTGCTGTGGGCAGATGACTAGTAAAGTACATGTCAATGCAAATGTAAATTTACTTTCACATTTCTGTCACTACTTGTTTGTTTGGCTTTTCCAATTTCCACATTTGACTGGAAGGAAAAAGCGCCCTGAAGAATGACCAGGTTGGCCCTTTCTTTTGGGTGCGGGAGGAGAGAAGAAAACTGAGTATCAGTTACAGAATTTTACGCTTCTGGTGTGGGTAGCTGGGCTCACATTTGTACCACCGTTTTCGTTTTGGCGACGTTTGACAGAAAGTCATGTCAACAGTAAATATCAACGTCTTTGGAAATACCGTAGGGATATAAAATACCAAAAAAAAGCTTAAAGTTAACATCATAGGTGTTAAGAAAAGCTCCTATTAAGGGACACTTTTTTATCTGTCCAGAGAAGTTATCAATAAGATATCGAATATTCATTAGGCAGCTATTAAGGCGATTGCACAGTTGTTAACACGACACCTTAGCGGGCGAGTTTCTCACAGAAAGATATATTCATTAGTCTCTAATGGTTTTCCACTTCATGTTTAAGACATTTCACTAAAGCTTGGAATACTGCTTCAAGTCTTGTGAACGTTATTCTGATACAGAAAGGCAGATACGTGCCAAGCTTGTAGAACAATTATTGCTCACCTCATTAAAAAAAATTCATTTAATATAATTCATATTTAGCTACAGGATTGCTTTAATATGGCAGCTGATGATATCTCCGCTGCTAGAATTTTTTCTAATTGGAAGGTGTGTACAAAATCTATTTCAAAGTAAGTGTTCTTAAAATACAAAAGCGAATGCAAAACGGATATGAGACGGCAAACGTTGGGTGCTTTCAGGTACAGGCTCGAATTTCCCGGCCACGAAATTTCTCCATAAATTATTGTATGTGTATATAGTAGAAACCAGCTTTTATGCAGAAAAGCTGGAACATCTTCCACGTAAAGAATGAGTGCTATGTCAGATGAGCCTACTACTGTGAAAATTTCAAAGTTATTGGACTAAGTAAATTCTAAGAAAGTTACGGAGATTATACTTTAGATATAATTCATCATAATTTTTTTGGAAGACCTCGCTCTAAGTTTTTTTTTCACCATCTGTGCTTTTAATTTAAGATCTCCATAAGCCGTTTGAATAAAATCTTATCCCAAATAATCTTTTGTTTAATGAGTTAGAAACGGTCACATCAATCGCTGTCAAACCTCGGCTTCACTAAGCCAAACTGCCGTATATTTGCTACATCAATTTTAGTTTACAGTGCTTAATTTTCTGATCAGATATATTTCGTAACGTCGATTAACTTCAAAAGCTGTGTCTGTGTTTTTTTGTACAAACTTCGATGTTGTTTCCTCTGCCATTTTAAAGTTATTTGAAAACAATTGAGGAAAATTTTAACCGACTCGTTGAAAGGTTGGTATTCCGAACTTTATGTTCTTCCGAGCGCGTTCAGAAAAGCGCTTAATAAAGATGGCAAACAATGATGATTTATTGACATATTTACAACTTTAAAGCTCGACTTGCCACAATAGTGGTTGCAATACGACAGATACTCTAATTAAAATGAAAATGAAAAATTTATTAGTCTAAATTTCTCCGAAAATTTTTGCTGAATTAAAGGCATTTTGCCTGGAAAGCGAAGATCCTTAATGTGAATTTTCTCGGTTTGAAAATCAAAGAGGTCTACAGTCCTATAGCCACGAATAGAAATTTCCAATTTTTCGTTTCATAAACACTTGTCAACTCCCAGCAGGGGGTTATTAAAATTTATAGTATATTTGTGGTCTGTATGTTGAATTCTGAAAAATATTTTGTTTGAGAGTGTTGCAGTTAGATGAACGATTAAAGCAATGACAAAGTTTCTTCTTAATAAATTGCTCGCTTTTATTTCTTTTTGTACTTCTTTACTTATTCAACAATGAACAAAAAATAACGAAAATGCGTCAGAAAAGACGGGAAATACGTAAAAATAACTGAAAGAAACTCATGGCACAAAAATTATTAACCGATACATGCAAAAGTTCACCTGCGCAAATTTAGGTCTTTACACTGGATTTATTACCACTATTGTGTCCAATGGTTGGGAACTCAATACTTCATACTCCGCGGACCCAAGCGACCGAAACAGTACACAGTGGCTAAATATTTCACGTGGAATTTCATAATGATTGGCAACTGCAGAAAAAATGCAAAACTTTTGTAATTGCGACCCACTAACTTGTGTAAAACGTAATTGTTTTGAAGCTGAATTATTAGCCGCTGGATGCGGTTTTTTGAGGATAATCCCGATGTGGAAAACAAGATTGCTTGCGTAATTTGACGGAACTGGACTTACCTTTTAAGGCAGAAGGTATTTTATGGATACTGGGTGACGAGGTGTCTAGGAAATGTTCCCACAAATTATACAAATTTCCATCAAACGCTTTTTAAGTGTATAGTTACAAGTGACAGATTTTGTGTTTTGGTCACTTACAGGGAGGAGCAAGGAATTGTGTTGTGCGAGCCCAAATGAACAGAACTCTCCGCTTGTGTGTTGTCGTGGTAAGTATTGGAATATTTTGAAGCAGGTAGCTCGATAACTCGCCTTATTTTGAACTCCACTCTTGGATCGAAACTTTCATCCTTATAGTAATTGTTTTATTTTGTTTACTTGCGATAAGCAGGCTTTACTCGCTCGTCTTGGACCACGTATCGTAAAAGGAAATCCGACGTGCGAATATCCTAAGGGTACGTGAAACATAATTTAGAGTTATTCACGTGTAATTACTTGATTATTGTGCTTAACGCCTTAGGAAACGTTTGGGGGCTTCAAAAGTCCTACAAGTAGCTCTTCGCCTAAATATTGTTCTACAATGCCTCGAAAATATTACCTCCCACGACTTAAAAACAAGCTGTTCAGTGTTACATTTTATATTAATTTCTGAATTATGAATTCGAGGTAAAAGCGAAATTTAAGTTGTCATGTATGTCGCGAGTGACACATTCGACACGTATGCCACTTTTAAAATTCGTGACCATATCTTGAGTTTATATGTTTGTATAGTGCTCTCGGTGTTAATGAATTAAGCTCAGGTTGTATGTTTCAAATTTAGAATAAAGTACTTGTAAAAAAATCATCTGGCTGCACGTAAAGTTAAAACCCATTCAGTTGTAGAATCGGGTAAATTAAAAATTTCCCGAAATAGTTATTTTTTGTACTCGATTTTAATTTAAAAATTGAATCAAGCCAAAACTAAAACGGCATCACAGAGATATTTACAAAGAAACATGAACAAAACCCTCCCGTATTCCACCTGCTACGATTCACGTTAAGTTTCTTTCAATATTCTTAAGACTGTTTTTGTTACGCCCTATTGTTACATATGCTAATGAATTCAATTTTTCTTATGTGGCTTATTAGCAGCGCTAAAATGTGGCAATATTTACAAACTGAAAAAAAAACAACTTCGAAGTGATATTTCAGATATCAAGATATCAAGATTCAGGCCTCACGTAACACACTAAGACGTTTTCCATCCGTTCGTGATCCGTTCGTTTTGACCGTTAAACGGTTACGTTTTCGCGTGAGACGTCATTTAATTATTTAATTATGTCTTTTCCGCGCGTAGACACACCAAATGCTAATTTTGTGCACTCTTAACTCATTCTGACTTTACAACTTCATTGACTTGCATTTCTTTGATAAAGAGGTCGTGATGACATCAAAATGTCGAGCCACTAATGCTGTTAAAATATTTGTAGTTCTTCTCAAATCTATAATTACCCGAGCTATCACTCGAACTTTAAACAATTTATTGCACGAACCCAAGCACTTAAATCCGTGAATCCGCGTAGGACACAAAGTAATAAATAACAAACTAGGCAAAAAAAATCTCATATCCAACAAGGGTGAATGGAATAATTCCTTTATTAAATTTTTCAATCGACTGGGTAAGTGAACATTTCAATCAATATACACGAAGTGCTGGTTGCAAAAGGCGGGAAAAATTTTTGCACGACGTTTGTTAGGAAAGCGAGCGAGACGGAGTTTAATTTCACGATGTTATTTCTTCATTATCTGCTTATTTTTAGTTTCGATTGAGAAGATACATCAAACACTCAAGACAGTGTTTCACCATATTTCCGATCACCTCGTCAAAACTACTCCGCTGCCCGTCATATTTTCAACTCTCTTCTTGGTGTTTAGGAAAATTTTCAAACACGTTCTTTCGTGTTTGATATATTACCTCCCGATCGGGAACCGTAAAGTTACTCAAGCAATGCTCAGTCTATAGCTGGATGAAATTCCTGACAATTTGTTCGGCTTTGACTTATTTTAAGAGAAGTCAACATTATACAGTTGATGCACCTAACTCGCAGTGGCTTTGGTTTTTCATTACGACGCTTACCAATCGGCTTAATTAAAAAGTCATCGAGTCAGAATAAAAACAAAACCAATTGTAACTCGCTCCCACTCGTTATTGCCGCGTTTTTCTTGAGCTACATGTACCGTGGATTGTCTAAAGTGATTAATTTAGTTTTGGTTAAATGATATTCAGTTAAAAAAACACTCTGTCACAGCTTTTTTTCTATGTTTTTCAGAAATATTTGGGGCTCAGGTTGAGAGATGGAATAATATCCGAAATTGGAACTCCTTTATTAATAATCTCACTGCACCAAACGATGGGGAATCTTTTATTCAAACACTCAATTTACCTCGGAGTCAAAGACTCGTGAACATTGGTCGACGTATGCGTACATATTTCCTGGCGCCAGAGTCTGGGACCTATAGGTTCTACATCGCATGTGATGACAATTGTCAGCTTAACCTGAGTACAGACGAGAAGCTTGAGAATGTGGTAACCTTGGTAACCGTTAAGAGATGGACTAGATATAAGGAATGGACAAGGTAAGCATTTCAATTACTTTTTGTTTAATATCAAATATTATTATATGACTAGCTCCGTGAGCGGGCAAGATGAATCAAATCCTGCATTGTGATTGGCTACCCGAGCGGGCAAGATGGAGCTATCTTGCCCGCTCGGGACTACCCGCCGTGTCCCGCAAGAAAAATTTCCCCGAAAGCCATATAATNCCTTGAGAGCTGCGAACTTGACTTCGCACTCGTTCCACTAACACTTTGAACTTCAAAATTCGGTCAACAAATCTCATACCATGTCCAGTCAAGTTCACAAAACTGTCGTTGTTTTATTAATTATGTATCTAACTTCACTATATAACTGCTTGTAAAGGGCTCAATTACATCTTTCGAATGCAGATGAGAACATTTGGTTTACAAAAGATGGTATATGTGATGTTTAAATATTTGCCGTTTTCAGACAGGTGGTCTTTTCATGGCCATTAACGTTCAATATTCCTTGTTGACAGATGTTCTTGATTTGCATTTCGTATTTTTCACTCTGTTTGCATTTGATAAGGGCCGTTTTGCTGTCAATGGTGGCAACACGACCTACAAAATTTAAATATTTGCCAAAGCTGTTTCAGTGTATCCTCATTAAGAGTAAATGTTAAATTCTGTTGGTTTTCCAAGCGCTTTTTAAGGCACATGACGAGTTAAGAAGTTATATTTAGAGAGCAGTCCTCACAGTCTGTATGATCTCAATGGTTGCTCCAAAGGTGATAACAACATCGTGGCTACAACATGCCGCATTTGCTGCAGAAATAATCGATTCCTGTGATCCTGAAATTAAGTTCAAGTAAGTCATTTTATAATCTGGGAATAAGTCTCGGGTTGTTATTTTTTAAAGATATAATTGTATAAATATGGAAGCGTAGCGGACTAATGGTTTGTCGGGAGTTCGGATCGAGTTGCTTAAGTTGTGGCGCTGAGGGGTAGCGTCATTATGTTGTGTTCTTTGGTCAGATAGTTTTAATAACAACATCATAACCAGAAGTACAAATGTATAGTGGTAAAGTTTAAGGATACTCAGACAAAATAACGGAGATGGGAACCTTCAACGCATGCGTCTTCGACGCCAGAGATACGATCGCGAAAAAGCTAGCATCCCATTCAAGAGAGCAGTGATACCCTCAAACCCTCCAAGCCATCCTGGAAAGCAAACCCAGGTGCTGTGGGCAGATGACTAGTAAAGTACATGTCAATGCAAATGTAAATTTACTTTCACATTTCTGTCACTACTTGTTTGTTTGGCTTTTCCAATTTCCACATTTGACTGGAAGGAAAAAGCGCCCTGAAGAATGACCAGGTTGGCCCTTTCTTTTGGGTGCGGGAGGAGAGAAGAAAACTGAGTATCAGTTACAGAATTTTACGCTTCTGGTGTGGGTAGCTGGGCTCACATTTGTACCACCGTTTTCGTTTTGGCGACGTTTGACAGAAAGTCATGTCAACAGTAAATATCAACGTCTTTGGAAATACCGTAGGGATATAAAATACCAAAAAAAAGCTTAAAGTTAACATCATAGGTGTTAAGAAAAGCTCCTATTAAGGGAGACTTTTTTATCTGTCCAGAGAAGTTATCAATAAGATATCGAATATTCATTAGGCAGCTATTAAGGCGATTGCACAGTTGTTAACACGACACCTTAGCGGGCGAGTTTCTCACAGAAAGATATATTCATTAGTCTCTAATGGTTTTCCACTTCATGTTTAAGACATTTCACTAAAGCTTGGAATACTGCTTCAAGTCTTGTGAACGTTATTCTGATACAGAAGGGCAGATACGTGCCAAGCTTGTAGAACAATTATTGCTCACCTCATTAAAAAAAATTCATTTAATATAATTCATATTTAGCTACAGGGTTGCTTTAATATGGCAGCTGATGATATCTCCGCTGCTAGAATTTTTTCTAATTGGAAGGTGTGTACAAAATCTATTTCAAAGTAAGTGTTCTTAAAATACAAAAGCGAATGCAAAACGGATATGAGACGGCAAACGTTGGGTGCTTTCAGGTACAGGCTCGAATTTCCCGGCCACGAAATTTCTCCATAAATTATTGTATGTGTATATAGTAGAAACCAGCTTTTATGCAGAAAAGCTGGAACATCTTCCACGTAAAGAATGAGTGCTATGTCAGATGAGCCTATTACTGTGAAAATTTCAAAGTTATTGGACTAAGTAAATTCTAAGAAAGTTACGGAGATTATACTTTAGATATAATTCATCATAATTTTTTTGGAAGACCTCGCTCTAAGTTTTTTTTTCACCATCTGTGCTTTTAATTTAAGATCTCCATAAGCCGTTTGAATAAAATCTTATCCCAAATAATCTTTTGTTTAATGAGTTAGAAACGGTCACATCAATCGCTGTCAAACCTCGGCTTCACTAAGCCAAACTGCCGTATATTTGCTACATCAATTTTAGTTTACAGTGCTTAATTTTCTGATCAGATATATTTCGTAACGTCGATTAACTTCAAAAGCTGTGTCTGTGTTTTTTTGTACAAACTTCGATGTTGTTTCCTCTGCCATTTTAAAGTTATTTGAAAACAATTGAGGAAAATTTTAACCGACTCGTTGAAAGGTTGGTATTCCGAACTTTATGTTCTTCCGAGCGCGTTCAGAAAAGCGCTTAATAAAGATGGCAAACAATGATGATTTATTGACATATTTACAACTTTAAAGCTCGACTTGCCACAATAGTGGTTGCAATACGACAGATACTCTAATTAAAATGAAAATGAAAAATTTATTAGTCTAAATTTCTCCGAAAATTTTTGCTGAATTAAAGGCATTTTGCCTGGAAAGCGAAGATCCTTAATGTGAATTTTCTCGGTTTGAAAATCAAAGAGGTCTACAGTCCTATAGCCACGAATAGAAATTTCCAATTTTTCGTTTCATAAACACTTGTCAACTCCCAGCAGGGGGTTATTAAAATTTATAGTATATTTGTGGTCTGTATGTTGAATTCTGAAAAATATTTTGTTTGAGAGTGTTGCAGTTAGATGAACGATTAAAGCAATGACAAAGTTTCTTCTTAATAAATTGCTCGCTTTTATTTCTTTTTGTACTTCTTTACTTATTCAACAATGAACAAAAAATAACGAAAATGCGTCAGAAAAGACGGGAAATACGTAAAAATAACTGAAAGAAACTCATGGCACAAAAATTATTAACCGATACATGCAAAAGTTCACCTGCGCAAATTTAGGTCTTTACACTGGATTTATTACCACTATTGTGTCCAATGGTTGGGAACTCAATACTTCATACTCCGCGGACCCAAGCAACCGAAACAGTACACAGTGGCTAAATATTTCACGTGGAATTTCATAATGATTGGCAACTGCAGAAAAAATGCAAAACTTTTGTAATTGCGACCCACTAACTTGTGTAAAACGTAATTGTTTTGAAGCTGAATTATTAGCCGCTGGATGCGGTTTTTTGAGGATAATCCCGATGTGGAAAACAAGATTGCTTGCGTAATTTGACGGAACTGGACTTACCTTTTAAGGCAGAAGGTATTTTATGGATACTGGGTGACGAGGTGTCTAGGAAATGTTCCCACAAATTATACAAATTTCCATCAAACGCTTTTTAAGTGTATAGTTACAAGTGACAGATTTTGTGTTTTGGTCACTTACAGGGAGGAGCAAGGAATTGTGTTGTGCGAGCCCAAATGAACAGAACTCTCCGCTTGTGTGTTGTCGTGGTAAGTATTGGAATATTTTGAAGCAGGTAGCTCGATAACTCGCCTTATTTTGAACTCCACTCTTGGATCGAAACTTTCATCCTTATAGTAATTGTTTTATTTTGTTTACTTGCGATAAGCAGGCTTTACTCGCTCGTCTTGGACCACGTATCGTAAAAGGAAATCCGACGTGCGAATATCCTAAGGGTACGTGAAACATAATTTAGAGTTATTCACGTGTAATTACTTGATTATTGTGCTTAACGCCTTAGGAAACGTTTGGGGGCTTCAAAAGTCCTACAAGTAGCTCTTCGCCTAAATATTGTTCTACAATGCCTCGAAAATATTACCTCCCACGACTTAAAAACAAGCTGTTCAGTGTTACATTTTATATTAATTTCTGAATTATGAATTCGAGGTAAAAGCGAAATTTAAGTTGTCATGTATGTCGCGAGTGACACATTCGACACGTATGCCACTTTTAAAATTCGTGACCATATCTTGAGTTTATATGTTTGTATAGTGCTCTCGGTGTTAATGAATTAAGCTCAGGTTGTATGTTTCAAATTTAGAATAAAGTACTTGTAAAAAAATCATCTGGCTGCACGTAAAGTTAAAACCCATTCAGTTGTAGAATCGGGTAAATTAAAAATTTCCCGAAATAGTTATTTTTTGTACTCGATTTTAATTTAAAAATTGAATCAAGCCAAAACTAAAACGGCATCACAGAGATATTTACAAAGAAACATGAACAAAACCCTCCCGTATTCCACCTGCTACGATTCACGTTAAGTTTCTTTCAATATTCTTAAGACTGTTTTTGTTACGCCCTATTGTTACATATGCTAATGAATTCAATTTTTCTTATGTGGCTTATTAGCAGCGCTAAAATGTGGCAATATTTACAAACTGAAAAAAAAACAACTTCGAAGTGATATTTCAGATATCAAGATATCAAGATTCAGGCCTCACGTAACACACTAAGACGTTTTCCATCCGTTCGTGATCCGTTCGTTTTGACCGTTAAACGGTTACGTTTTCGCGTGAGACGTCATTTAATTATTTAATTATGTCTTTTCCGCGCGTAGACACACCAAATGCTAATTTTGTGCACTCTTAACTCATTCTGACTTTACAACTTCATTGACTTGCATTTCTTTGATAAAGAGGTCGTGATGACATCAAAATGTCGAGCCACTAATGCTGTTAAAATATTTGTAGTTCTTCTCAAATCTATAATTACCCGAGCTATCACTCGAACTTTAAACAATTTATTGCACGAACCCAAGCACTTAAATCCGTGAATCCGCGTAGGACACAAAGTAATAAATAACAAACTAGGCAAAAAAAATCTCATATCCAACAAGGGTGAATGGAATAATTCCTTTATTAAATTTTTCAATCGACTGGGTAAGTGAACATTTCAATCAATATACACGAAGTGCTGGTTGCAAAAGGCGGGAAAAATTTTTGCACGACGTTTGTTAGGAAAGCGAGCGAGACGGAGTTTAATTTCACGATGTTATTTCTTCATTATCTGCTTATTTTTAGTTTCGATTGAGAAGATACATCAAACACTCAAGACAGTGTTTCACCATATTTCCGATCACCTCGTCAAAACTACTCCGCTGCCCGTCATATTTTCAACTCTCTTCTTGGTGTTTAGGAAAATTTTCAAACACGTTCTTTCGTGTTTGATATATTACCTCCCGATCGGGAACCGTAAAGTTACTCAAGCAATGCTCAGTCTATAGCTGGATGAAATTCCTGACAATTTGTTCGGCTTTGACTTATTTTAAGAGAAGTCAACATTATACAGTTGATGCACCTAACTCGCAGTGGCTTTGGTTTTTCATTACGACGCTTACCAATCGGCTTAATTAAAAAGTCATCGAGTCAGAATAAAAACAAAACCAATTGTAACTCGCTCCCACTCGTTATTGCCGCGTTTTTCTTGAGCTACATGTACCGTGGATTGTCTAAAGTGATTAATTTAGTTTTGGTTAAATGATATTCAGTTAAAAAAACACTCTGTCACAGCTTTTTTTCTATGTTTTTCAGAAATATTTGGGGCTCAGGTTGAGAGATGGAATAATATCCGAAATTGGAACTCCTTTATTAATAATCTCACTGCACCAAACGATGGGGAATCTTTTATTCAAACACTCAATTTACCTCGGAGTCAAAGACTCGTGAACATTGGTCGACGTATGCGTACATATTTCCTGGCGCCAGAGTCTGGGACCTATAGGTTCTACATCGCATGTGATGACAATTGTCAGCTTAACCTGAGTACAGACGAGAAGCTTGAGAATGTGGTAACCTTGGTAACCGTTAAGAGATGGACTAGATATAAGGAATGGACAAGGTAAGCATTTCAATTACTTTTTGTTTAATATCAAATATTATTATATGACTAGCTCCGTGAGCGGGCAAGATGAATCAAATCCTGCATTGTGATTGGCTACCCGAGCGGGCAAGATGGAGCTATCTTGCCCGCTCGGGACTACCCGCCGTGTCCCGCAAGAAAAATTTCCCCGAAAGCCATATAATAAATCTTTTATTGACCAAGCTTTTTCGGTCAAGATGGCTGGCTGACGGTCAATTGAAAGCGCTCTGTCGATTACGCTTTAATTCTTTACCTTTAACCGTTTTCTTGTCCTTCAAATAAATAGGTCAAATTCTGCAAGAGCTTCACTGTCCAAAGGTCGCTCATACCTTCTGGAGGCCATTTTCTTTCAGGGTCCAGGAAATTATCACATGACTGTTCGTGTAGCTCTCCCAGACGGAAGTATCAGTGAACCCATCAGCAATAAATTCCTCGTAAAATACGCACCAGCCGGTGAGATAAAAACTAGATTTAATATATCAAAAACGAGAAGCCGTTCTTTACCACTTTGAAACACCATAAAGGGAGCTAAAAATACGACCAGCAGCAGAGATTTTTTGTCCAACTTCGAGGTGTTCAAAAATGTGGTAAGAAATGTTCTCGCTTGTTTGATGCATCTTCTCAATCAAAACTTAAACCAAGCAGGAATCGTAGAAATCTATCGTCACTGTTGTGATTTTCTTTGTTTCAACTTGATGGATTGTTAATGAGTTTGAGAAGTATTAGTGCAGAAGGCGCCTCATCCAAAATGCTGATCAGCCTTTCCAAATTGGTGACGTATACTAATTTTTCACATTCTTTCCTTCGCCATATTGAGAAAGTCAAACTGTAGTCTGGAATCAAATGGAATACCTGCATATAGCTGGAAGCTAGCTCATTCGTACTAAGTAGGAGCTTAATTTGCTCTCCTGCGCCGGGAAAAAGAAATTTTGGCTGATAGTATCTATGCAAAAATTAACTAAATGCAAGCTTCAACTCGTCACTTATTTATCTGTGGTCAGCATTTACACAAGTTAGCATGTACACTGCTACACCGAGGAATGTTTTCTTTTCTTCATGAAGTCGAGAGCTAGTTCGTTTCTCCTTACACAGATATTTTTTCCCATAAGGGGAACTTTTGTTCAAATTTTGACAAAAACTCTTTTAAACTTGATTGTTTTCTTCACAGGATCTTTTGGCGCAGCTCCAGTAGGGGACTGGGGTGCATGGTCCACATGTAGTAAGACCTGTGGCGAGGGAACCCAGACACGTAACCGCTCGTGCCTTAATCTCCCACCTGTGTACCCCACCCCCAATACAACTGACATGGAAATGAGGATGTGTTATCCTATAGGGCCGTGTTCCTGTAAGTGATTATTACCACAGTCCGCTTAATCTAATGGGACTTAATGAGCTTTTTATATGCGGTGCTTAATGGGATGTCACTACGCATGCAAAGAAATCCCCATCGTCAGAATATATGAAATGGCCAGTAAGGACTAATGCTCAATTTACTGTTACCTCCTTGTAGAGATAAATAGCGTACTTAAGATTAAGCCGTGATCTCGTGTAAAGCAAAGACTATAAGTCTTCTCTAATTTGTCTTCTTAGCAGCTTTTCAGTGCTTCATAAACTTACCTTTTCTAAGTAAAAGGCCATGAAATAATAGAAATTCGGTTAAGCTTTTTATTTCCCATTTGTTCCTTCTTCTTCTCTCACATTCATACTTTTAATTTTTACATGTTAAGCCATGTAAAACGAGTCAAAACTCTTTGCTACGGACACCAATTGGTCAGAGCTGAGTGTCTATAATGAAAGTGTCCGTATCATAGAGGTAGAGATAATGTGAAGTAATTTTTCTTTGGGACTAACTGATCTGTTTGTAATTAGAGGTGTCCGTAATATAGAGCTGCTCGTGCTCTGCAGGAATCCGTAAGGAGAGATTCGACTGAATCTGCCATCTCCCTCGGCAGATAATTATGTAGTGCTTGTTACTTAAAACCACAGCTTCGAATTCGTTAGATGCATTTTGCATATTTTTCAAAAAACCTTACTAAGACCATATTGTTATTTATGTTGCATAAATTATTTTTGTTCCCAGTACCACGCAGCATCATCCAAGTTCGTAACATCAGCTCGACGTCTCTCTTAGTGGAATGGCAAGACCGCTGGTCACAGGAACTGCGTCAGTTTCAAATCATATACAATAGAACAACCAACCAACCATCTCAAAATATAACTGTGAATGCCTCGCAACAATCTGTAGAACTTCATGATCTTGGATTTTTCACGTGGTATTGTGTTAGAGTGTTCGTGTCCCGTCAAGGAGTGGAACAGAAGTCACCTTGTGTGTATGCGAGAACGGGGCAAGATGGTGAGTGAAGTGTCAATTTATATACACATGCATGGCGGAAAAAGAAAATGGCCCGTTGGGGCAAGACTCCCATCTGAATAGGTCGGGGATGCTCGTCGTCCGCTCAGGGACGTAAATCACGGATTTTGGCGTCATTTAGGGTGGTTAAGACAGACCTCAAATATTTTATCTGTCAAGGTGTCCTTTAGGGTGTACTAGAAGAAATAGTCAACAAAAACTGTCATGTTCGTTTTAAAGTTATCCCTTAGGGGTCAAGTTAAGCTCAAGCAACACCCGGATTGACTCTCGTTTAATTTGANTGTCGAATCGGGTAGTTCGAGAAATTGGGTGTAAAATTACAATGCTGGACTGACGGCAGAGAAACTACTTTTTCGAGTTATCGCGAGAAGTGCTGTTCCCGTGAATTAAAAAAAAGAAAAACACGCTAAAAACCTGTTGCAATTTTTTCTCACATCAAACAATTCACATAATAATATCTTCACCATAGTGTTTTAAGGCACGTGTGGTACTAGGTATAGTTTTCACCAAAACAACGCATCACGATCGCCATGATGATCTCTCTTTAATTTCTCGATAATAGCAATTTCGATTTTGTTAAATGAGTAATTGTAGTTGTATTAGGGATTGAAACTTGTAATTTCTGATGTGTATTTTGTACTTTTTTAAATTTATTTTATTTATGTTTAGTGTGAAAAGGAAAAGCTAAGCAAATATATAAGATAAAATTGCGATATTGTTTATTTTTACAGAGACCTGCCGATGTCCCAGTAGGATTTTTGTCAACTGGATGCATGTTCCTCCACTTTGTGTCAGGAGAGATGGAGAAGAACCCACAGGGCTAGTACCTGAAGTGCTACGTCACATGGTTCTCTATGGATGTGGCACTTGTCATGAAAACAAAACCACTAAAATAATATACCATGAAGAGAGCTCCAGTGTACAGAATATGATTAGCACCGTCAATGAGGACCTTCAGATTAACCTACCTATCACTGTAAAGCCCGGAATGCCTTCAACAGGGGAGGGCTGGGTGTTCCTTCCTGTGGTTGAGGTAGCAGGGTTTGCCTTTCTCACGAGGAAGCCCAGTACAGATGCATATGCAAGATATTTAGCGTCCTCTGTCCTGGTTCGTTGGCCTGTTTTTGTGATGATGTTTGTGATGTTTGTCACGTTTGGATTGGCGGTTTGGACTGTGGTAAGAACGTTACTATCCAAATGCTATTGAGTAACGTTTGTAGGTCTTGCTGGGTCACGCCAGGCTAACCTAAGTTACGCAAGGTCGTGATAAGTCATGTTGTTTTTGGATGATGTTGTTATTTACGGAGTAGTTTCTGAATCGGAGCCTCTAAATGATGCTAGAAAGTTAATGGCGATTTTAAAAAAAGCCCTTAGACCCCGACCACACTAAAGCATTTTCGTATGAAAACGTTTACTTTTTGATGCGTTTTCGCCTTTCGACAACACTAAAACGACCGAAAGGGCTGATAAAAACGGAGAGTTTTGAAAACGATTTCAGACGTGTAGTCGTTTGAAAACGCATCAAAACGCTCCGTTTCTAGTGTGGACAGGTGGAAGCGGAGGCATATACTGCCGGGACCTGTCGCATCTGTCAGACGTTATGGTGTGGACGACAGGCCGAACGCAGCAATAAGTAGGCGTTTTCGAATGAAAGCGCATTAGTGTGGACAGTTGAAAACAAAACGAAAACGCTAGCGTGGGCAAATTAGTTGTTTCAGAATGAGTGGCAAGTCTCATCTTTCCCTTCTGTTTATCTCAATACAGGAGAAATATAGGAACCCTGCTCATTTTCCGCAACGTTTTACTCGAGGTTGGGGTGAAAGTGTTTGGTGGGCCTTCATTTCCATGACAACCGTAGGGTAAGTCAAAGGTTTATGTGCACCAAAAGAATCCTTTTTTAATTGTTTACAATTACAAACACGTGGAAAAAGACACTCACTCAATGTCTTAATCACTCAGGCATTCTCGCGAAACGAAAGCTGGTTTGAAAAATCGAGTTGTTCGCGAAATAGGGGAGAGGGGTGGGTAAAATTACAATATTCGAGAGATTCGAAAATCGAGGGTTCAAGAAATCGGTACTCCACCGTGCTTACCAACAGAATTAAGGAACTTGATTGTTACAAATTAATAACCTAGAGACTACGATGATTTAAGTCTTTATTCTCATCAGCCTCAAGAGGATCTAAATTAATATCTGTTTACAACTTTTCAGCTTAATAGCGTGCTTGGTTATCTATTGTTACGAATTAACACCCTAGAGAGCATGATGATTAAGGCTAATATTAAAGTTAAATATAATTCTCCAAGGTATGGTGATCGTTACCCAAAATCAGTTCCTGGCAGACTTATCGGCATTGTCAGTTTCCTTGTCGGCGCAGTCATGGACGCTCTATTTATAGCAATACTGNTGAAAACAAAACGAAAACGCTAGCGTGGGCAAATTAGTTGTTTCAGAATGAGTGGCAAGTCTCATCTTTCCCTTCTGTTTATCTCAATACAGGAGAAATATAGGAACCCTGCTCATTTTCCGCAACGTTTTACTCGAGGTTGGGGTGAAAGTGTTTGGTGGGCCTTCATTTCCATGACAACCGTAGGGTAAGTCAAAGGTTTATGTGCACCAAAAGAATCCTTTTTTAATTGTTTACAATTACAAACACATGGAAAAAGACACTCACTCAATGTTTCAATCACTCAGACATTCTGGCGAAACGAAAGCTGGTTTGAAAAATCAAGTTCGAGAAATAGGGGAGAGGGGAGGGTAAAATTACAGTATTCGAGAGGTTCGAAAATCGAGGGTTCAAGAAATCGGCACTCCACTGTGCTTACCAACAGAATTAAGGAACTTAATTGTTACAAATTAATAACCTAGAGGCTACGATGATTTAAGTTGTTATTCTCGTCAGCCACAAGAGGATCTAAATTAATATCTGTTTACAACTTTTCAGCTTAATAGCGTGCTTGGTTATCTATTGTTATGAATTAACACCCTAGAGAGCATCATGATTGAAGGCTAATATTAATGTTAAATATAATTCTCCAAGGTATGGTGATCGTTACCCAAAATCAGTTCCTGGCAGACTTATCGGCATTGTCAGTTTCCTTGTCGGCGCAGTCATGGACGCTCTATTTATAGCAATACTGACGTCATCACTGACAGTGTTCGTGTTTGATTTGGCAGCCAACCCTGATCGCGGAAAAAAGGTCAGCGAAATATTTTACTTCGTGTCCAGGGCTGGGAAGAGCGTTTAAGGGTGTAGCCTGAGTGGATGCTTAATCCTTTGTTCTGTGGTATTAAAACTTTCATTAGTGCTCATTTGGCCCACAATGAAATTTTGACGCGTCAGCTGTCCCTCGACATCGTCACAGCAATCACATTATGACAGGCAACCTAGGTCTACTTTTCTTACTTTTTTTAGCTCTCTTCAGAAACGTTGCAGAATAATTGTTTTTACAATATACCATTTTTGGTTTAATTTCCATTAATTCGCGTTATGACTGAATGAATGAATGAATGACGTGTCAAAGAAGTCTAACCAAGGGTAAAAACCCTCTGACTTTCTGAGAGGATGGTGAAATCCAGAATGGCGGATCCAAGAAAGTAGGATTAATACCGTCATGTGTCGCCAGATGACGTAATTACAAACAAGAAATGTGCCATCTTGCAGAGCAGGCAGAGTTATCTATTAAACGCAGAACGATTTAAATATGTTTTATTTCAATCAAAGTTGCTCTTGGTTTACATATTTTGATTATATATCTTTTAAATTTCTTTCTTTCAGATTGGTGTAATCAGAGGTTCTGTGGAACATCGATTCGGCATGCGCATAATTGGAAGTAAAGGTGAATACCAATAGCTTATGATTGAAAGTTATCACCTGACGTTGGTTATAAAACATCGCTTTGGTTACCTAATATAGCAAACTCAAGAGAGAGTCTTTTACCGCATTGTCAAACACCGAAGAGAAAGCTGAAAATACAACGGACAGCCAAGTTTATTTTTTGACGAACTTTGCAGTAAAATACTCTTTCGAGTGTGATATATCTTCTCAATCGAAACTAACACCAAACCAGAGAAAACCCTGACATTGAACTCTGTGCAAAAGAGATGGCTTATGCTAGTGTTGAATTTTTTGTAACTTTTTTGTTCGTTTTTATGAACGGTGGATCTTCATGGGCTAAGAATTAAGGATAAATCTAGTATTAAATTGCAATATTTAGAAAGGAAGCCACAGGCATAGCTGGCTTTCACGCGGGTCCGCTATCCTGGTCGAATTGCAATTTAGAGATGTTGGTTTTTGTGGAGGGAGGGAAACCGCAGAAAAACCCTTGGAGCAAGGCGAAAACCAACAACAAAACTTAACCCACATACGGCACCAGTACGGAATAGAACCTGGGCCACATTTCTTGCATACGGCGACTGCGCCCGCAGCACGAGCGGCAGTCAAAACCGAGCTGTCCGTACCGAAACAACACGATAATAGTCTCTTTCTTTGCAGCCGACAAAAATAGAGAATGCTTAAGTTGGTTTGGCCAATTCTAATAGTAAGCTTGAGATTTCCGAGTTTAATTTGGCGATGAACAGCATAATTTGTTCAGAATAATACAGCTATTATT